AGCTTCATGCTTTCCAGCTGCGCGTTGACCCCGCCAATTTCAAGGTAAGTGCAACGAATTTCATCTTTAGTCAATTCCGATTCTGTCGTACTCTCGTAAAGTCACGGTAACTTATTTGTTTCCTGTGTTTTTCATAGATTCTGTCCCACAACATCCTCGTGGTTCTGGCCATTATGTTCCCCAACGATTTCACCCCAGAGGCCCATGTTGCTATGGACAAGTTCCTCAGTGCTTTGGCTCTGGCTCTGGCCGAGAAGTACAGATAAATTCATGTTATTGTGATGAAGTCGGACTGCGTCAGACCAGATAGATGCCTGTATAAACATTATGTCTTATGATGCAATAAATGATTATAAACAACATTAACTAAATGTCTTTGGTGCATGTTTTTGTCATACACATGTAAGTGTTTTAAAAACACCTTAACGTGAAGATAGCTATGCGAATGGTGAGAGTCCAACGCTATCTCACGACCAATTCGTAGGTATTTTACGAGGTGGCTAATTCGTACAGAATTTTGTACTATTTGTGTAGACCCCAGTGACGGGTAGGTTTGGGCGGGGTTAGGTGTGGGTCATTCGTACAAATTCATACGATTTAGCCACCTCGTAAAATATGTAGGCTTACGAATTGCCTTGAGATCGGGATGGAGAGTCTCACAACACAAATATTTGCAACTGTTTCATTCATTCTACAGAACTACCAGCCAATAAACATGGAAGTAATGATGTTTTATCTTGTGTTCAGGGCCGTATTAACCATTTGGGCTGGGCGGGGCTGAAGCCCCGGGGCCCGAGCAAGGAGGGGGTCCGTGATTGGCTGTGGAGTAAATTGACTGGCGCGCCGATCGCCAAAGTCACCACGCCCCCCTCTTATTAGAGCTGTTATTTAGTTGAGCTTTTCCGTAAATTCCATGCATTACCATTTGAGATTGAAGCTTAAAGTCTGAATTTGGTTTACCAAGCAAATGCATTTATTCTATTCTTGACAATGACATTTGAAAGACATGTGCACGTATCTATCAGGTGATTGCTGCCCAGCCTATGTCTGCATTCACCTCCACTCTTCACTTCGTTCTGGAGTAATCTGGAAATGTTCGCGCAAAGAACAATATTCTATAAGTAAAGATGTCAGAAATTCTGAGAGAGAGGGGCTCAAAAAATGAAAAATTTGAAATACAAACAACAGAAAAAAAACAAGTTAGTCAGTAAACTCCCCAGCTATCAGGTTATTACTAAAGCTGATAATGGAGTGGAAGTAACTTCAATCAACTGTTGTTGGAACAGCAAGTGAACCGGGCACATGGGAAAAAAACAGCTCATCGTCTACACAGATTTTAAGTTAGTTTGATTATTAACTGGATGTATATTGTTTTTGTGTTTTGAACAAACTCTATATATTCATTTAAGGATTGGGAGATAATCCGGTAGAAATGTATCAATCGTTTTGCGTGTCAAGATGTAGGCTAAGCTTATCATTTAAACGCGTTTTAAGCAGGTTTTAAAACAAATGGTTTAAACTGTTAATGAACATTAAGCAGTGGGGCAGAATTAATTATGGTTAATGCGTGCATTAAGACGATTTCAGTCTGATTCGCGCGGCGCGCACCTGCTCGTATTGCGACTGACTAAACTTTTTGCTCCTAGCGCTTAAACGTTCAAATACACAGTTATGTCAAAAATTCTCGTCTTTGCGAGTATCCTCGTAAACAGTTATTTGTGTCTTAAATGAGCGTTAATAGTTAAAGAGAAAGCATGTGTAGTGTTAGGCTATATGAGATTCTGGATTAGCCTCTATGATGAGATCTTAAAAGGATATTTCACCCAAAAATGAAGATAGCCTGTCATCATATACTTAAACTCAAATTGTTCTAAACCTCTATGAATTTCTTTGTTCTCCTCAACATAAAAAAAGATATTTTGAAAAATGATTGCATCCAGTTTCTGGTCCCCATTGACTCCAATATTGTATTCTTATTCATAAAGTCATGGGGGCCCAGCAACTGTCTGATTACCAGTATTGTTCCAAATATATTATTTTGCATTCAACAGCAGAAGGAATCTCATACAGGTTTAGAACAACAACAGAATGTTCATGTTTGGGTGAACTATTCCTCTTAAGCAGCCTAATGTTTTAAAACAAATGGTTTAAACTGTTAATGAACATTAAGCAGTGGGGCAGAATTAATTATGGTTAATGCGTGCATTAAGACGATTTCAGTCTGATTCGCGCGGCGCGCACCTGCTCGTATTGCGACTGACTAAACTTTTTGCTCCTAGCGCTTAAACGTTCAAATACACAGTTATGTCAAAAATTCTCGTCTTTGCGAGTATCCTCGTAAACAGTTATTTGTGTCTTAAATGAGCGTTAATAGTTAAAGAGAAAGCATGTGTAGTGTTAGGCTATATGAGATTCTGGATTAGCCTCTATGATGAGATCTTAAAAGGATATTTCACCCAAAAATGAAGATAGCCTGTCATCATATACTTAAACTCAAATTGTTCTAAACCTCTATGAATTTCTTTGTTCTCCTCAACATAAAAAAAGATATTTTGAAAAATGATTGCATCCAGTTTCTGGTCCCCATTGACTCCAATATTGTATTCTTATTCATAAAGTCATGGGGGCCCAGCAACTGTCTGATTACCAGTATTGTTCCAAATATATTATTTTGCATTCAACAGCAGAAGGAATCTCATACAGGTTTAGAACAACAACAGAATGTTCATGTTTGGGTGAACTATTCCTCTAAAGCAGCCTAATATAGCTGCTGTTGCCATTTGTGTCGATAATGTAAATCAAACATCAGAAAGAAAATCACTTACTGTCCTTGACTGAATCACTTTTGTAAAATAAATAAGAATGAATGTATATTGAATATATACAGAGAAGACCATTCAGTCTATTTGTCAATTTTTTTCATACATCATAATATTATTCAGTGCTTTCAAGTTTTTCAAGTATTTCTTATGATCTTTGTTCTGTTGTAGCTTAATTTGTGACTGTTTACTTGTCTTCAGTAAGCTTACTTTTACTTAGGCTAGTATTATTTTTTGTGATATTGAAACTGGTAACAAAAATGATGAAATTTCATTGCATCAAGAATTTTGATGTGGGATAAAAATCCTATTTAAAGCTTTATATATATATATATCATTATTGTGATGGGGGGCCTTGCAGTAAGTCATAGCCCCGGGGCCCAGTGCAGTCTTAATGCGGCCCTGCTTGTGTTGACACAAATCAAACATGAATTACCAACCACACAAACAAACAAGCAAATAAATACACTTTAAAAACCTTTAAATAAACAAGCATATATTTCTAAATAATTTCTCAACCTAAGCATAAGTGGAGGCAGAGGTGTAAAGCACTAGAGTAATTGAACTTTATTGGTCCGCTTAGTGCTTTTGAGGGTTTTACAAGTTGTGGCAATTTAAGTCCTTCAACGTATACAAGAGCATAATTCACTGATCATAAATATAGCCACTTATTAAAAATATATAGTTATTTTTTTTCGTCAAGAAAATAAAAATAACGTTGCGTACTTTTTTACACTTGCAAATATAAGTATTAATAAACTAGCTCCTCTAAGAACAAATAAATGTGGAAACGTTTACTTCCGCTTTTGAAATCTAACAAATTAGGCGTTTCTCACTGGGTAAATCTATTTTGAAAAGCTTTTAAAAAAAAGCTATTTTTCAGCGTTCTATAGGCTACGTAGTTTTTTTATTAATTATTTTATTTACATTATATTTTAACAAAGGGGTTAAAACATGGATTAGTATTATTATACTAATAATTACATATATTATATACATATAATAGTGTATAATACTAAAGTGTTTTAAGTGTTCAGTTTTTCTTTTTTTAATTGAAGACTTGAAGTGACTGCTTAGATTGTGAATCAACTCTTTTACCATCATAACACCCATTGTTAAAGTAACGGACTATTCTTTAAATCAAATAGCCTAACAATTATAAAAGTATTCAATCAAATTCATTTGAATAAAACTTGAAATAGGCCTGAAGCTATCTGTCCTTATTAAAGTTATATTGATAGTCTCCTATTAATAAAAGAGGTGATCAGATAAGGTTATGCACGAACTTGGTGCCTATTTTAATAAAAGATGATCAGTTATAGGTTATACCAAAGGCTTGTGTTTTGTTTTTAAATCAAAAGCTGGCTGCAGATACACAATTTGTGAATTCATGCGAATATATAAAAAAGCACAGGAGACACTGCATATTGAATAATGAAACCTTTATTTGCTTCAACTCAGAAGAACATATTCTTTTGTCTAAGCATCAGATGATCCTCTGTGTAACAGTCTAAGCAGGGGTTGTTTCTATTGGTACTGTCTTTGAAGGGAGGAGATCACGACGGCGAGGAACTTCTGAAAAGCGGCCTGGACCTCAGGGGTGAATGCAGCGCCCAGTTGTGCAGCAACAACGACGGTCAGGCAGTCACCCAAAAGCTGTGGGAGGACACAAGTGTAGTGTCATAGACAGAAGGGATGAACACTGGAGTCAGAACAAGGCTTGGTAATAAACATTTATTGTGAATCAACTCTTTTACCATCATAACACCCATTGTTAAAGTAACGGACTATTCTTTAAATCAAATAGCCTAACAATTATAAAAGTATTCAATCAAATTCATTTGAATAAAACTTGAAATAGGCCTGAAGCTATCTGTCCTTATTAAAGTTATATTGATAGTCTCCTATTAATAAAAGAGGTGATCAGATAAGGTTATGCACGAACTTGGTGCCTATTTTAATAAAAGATTATCAGTTATAGGTTATACCAAAGGCTTGTGTTTTGTTTTTAAATCAAAAGCTGGCTGCAGATACACAATTTGTGAATTCATGCGAATATATAAAAAAGCACAGGAGACACTGCATATTGAATAATGAAACCTTTATTTGCTTCAACTCAGAAGAACATATTCTTTTGTCTAAGCATCAGATGATCCTCTGTGTAACAGTCTAAGCAGGGGTTGTTTCTATTGGTACTGTCTTTGAAGGGAGGAGATCACGACGGCGAGGAACTTCTGAAAAGCGGCCTGGACCTCAGGGGTGAATGCAGCGCCCAGTTGTGCAGCAACAACGACGGTCAGGCAGTCACCCAAAAGCTGTGGGAGGACACAAGTGTAGTGTCATAGACAGAAGGGATGAACACTGGAGTCAGAACAAGGCTTGGTAATAAACATTTTGTAATCTGGGTGTCATCTTACCCTGAAGTTGTCAGGATCTACGTGGAGCTTCTCGGAGTGCAGCACACTCAGTTCAGCATAAGCGGCTTTGATGTTGTCCATGTTCTTCACGGCTCTGTCCAGGCCATGCAGCACGACTTTACCGTGAGCAGCAACCATGGGGTTTCCCATGATGGCAGCGGCATTGTACAGGTTTCCAAAGTTGCCGAAGTACCGCAGTATTCAATCAAATTCATTTGAATAAAACTTGAAATAGGCCTGAAGCTATCTGTACTTATTAAAGTTATATTGATAGTCTCCTATTAATAAAAGAGGTGATCAGATAAGGTTATGCACGAACTTGGTGCCTATTTTAATAAAAGATTATCAGTTATAGGTTATACCAAAGGCTTGTGTTTTGTTTTTAAATCAAAAGCTGGCTGCAGATACACAATTTGTGAATTCATGCGAATATATAAAAAAGCACAGGAGACACTGCATATTGAATAACGAAACCTTTATTTGCTTCAACTCAGAAGAACATATTCTTTTGTCTAAGCATCAGATGATCCTCTGTGTAACAGTCTAAGCAGGGGTTGTTTCTATTGGTACTGTCTTTGAAGGGAGGAGATCACGACGGCGAGGAACTTCTGAAAAGCGGCCTGGACCTCAGGGGTGAATGCAGCGCCCAGTTGTGCAGCAACAACGACGGTCAGGCAGTCACCCAAAAGCTGTGGGAGGACACAAGTGTAGTGTCATAGACAGAAGGGATGAACACTGGAGTCAGAACAAGGCTTGGTAATAAACATTTTGTAATCTGGGTGTCATCTTACCCTGAAGTTGTCAGGATCTACGTGGAGCTTCTCGGAGTGCAGCACACTCAGTTCAGCATAAGCGGCTTTGATGTTGTCCATGTTCTTCACGGCTCTGTCCAGGCCATGCAGCACGACTTTACCGTGAGCAGCAACCATGGGGTTTCCCATGATGGCAGCGGCATTGTACAGGTTTCCAAAGTTGCCGAAGTACCGCTGGGTCCAAGGGTAAACGATAAGACATCTACAAGCCAGAATGAAGAGAAAGAGCATCGTATTAGAGCACAGTAAAGAAACTAGATGCCCGCTTTAAGTTACTATAACTGCCGGGACTCAATACCTTGCCAGAGATTGCTGACCAACGACGTCGTAGTTCATCTTGGAGAAGATGTCCTGAATGGTGGCCCTCTCAAATTCTGTCCACGCAACCATGTTTCCGACTTTAGATGTTCAGACAAAGTGCCTTAAACAGAAGCTAAAGAGTGCTGTGAAGAGAGTTTCATTGCGGTACTTAAATGCGCTTCATCACTCCACCCCTTGGCAGGCTATTGGGTGACATGTTTGTGGGTTGGATCAACCACGTCCACCCAAAAGATGCATATCATAGCCTACTTTTCTCTTCTGCAAAGACTAAACCTAAGTAGTTAATTCTAACAACGTTTTGCTGAGATTAAAAATATGGAAACAACAATAGGCCTAATGAGACTATATGAATTCTGTTTATAACTTATTTTAATATGGCAGCGTTTTTACTGAACAATTGTTGTAGGCTAATCGGATGATATCGATTGCATATAGACATAAATAATATAATAAAAATGATAGAATATTTTTATACATAGGGAATTCTGAACAGTTAAATTTGACTTAATGTGTGACAAGAGAAACCCTTTTTCTCATTTAGAAAAATTGCTTTTCTCCCCCGTGAGAGCTGCGAGCTGCGATGTAGGCTATTTACCAAATCGAGCACATGACTTCTGTATTTGACATTTCAGGTTCCTAAATCGAAATCGAATCTGAATAATTGTTAGTCGAAAATTCATTTGTTAGTCGAAAATTCAATTTAGGCTACTAAAAAGTATATTGTGCAACGTGCGTAGAACTTTTTTACAGTACCAAATATGCACGGAATTTAATTTTTTTGGTTTAAAATAATATTCTGATTGTATTCTAGGCAGGCGAGGGAATGTGTAATATAACAGTCCTAGAACCTTAAAGTCTGGCTTCACAGAACGACGTCTTTTAGCGACCCCTGCTGTCCACAAGTCTTAAATTGGCTAATAGAGGCCTGACAAACTTAAACAGAACCAGTCCACCACTTTAACCGACAAGGGGCGCTAGTGTCTATCAAGTTCAATTTAAGTGTGCTTAACTGGCATGACAAAAGCTGCACATTTGTATTGTGTACAAAATGTGTGCAATGTAAAGTATGACGGTGCAAATACTTAATGTTTACACAGAAAAAGTGGTGCCAAATTAAATAAAATGAAATAAAAGATTAAAATAAAATGTGTAAAATATTAACAGGATAACAGAACAAACAAAAAAGTAGCCTAATATAAGTTATACAGTTTTGCGACATATGAGGGAAACATCAAGTCAGGGCGGATCATTCACTGTCTCTTATATTGTGGTGCTGCTAACACACAGCTGTCCCTATGTTCTTCTATCAGGAAGGGCAGTTATTTATTGTTTGACAGTGTTTCGAATGTGAGGTATATGCACTTTATTTTTTGATAGACCATTGTCCGAATATCTGTGCATTTTGTGTATTGTTATAGAAAGTGCAGCTCTGTCTCAGTTTTGTTTTGATCACAGTCACAGATAATAGCCTATGTACTATTTTGATGTGAGGCAGAGTGTAACAGCTCTTGTGAGGGAGTCTGCAGGGTTCATATTTCATATAGGGTCTTTTTCATAGCTAATGTTTTGTAAAGGATGTTTTAAAATAGTTGTCGAATTAAAAGAGTTTTAAAAGTTCCTCTCTGTTTCAATTCCATTTTTATTTGATGAACATTCTGAATTTGGTATCTAATGGAGATATTGGAATATGCAAATAAAATAGCCTAGCCTACCTTTTATTATATAGGCTAAATAGATGCCTACATTTGTATTATTATTTATTTTAAAGTCATTTAGCAGACGCTTTTATCCAGAAGCAATCAATTGTAGTATTAAAACAATTAAAACCAGATCCAAAACTAAAACCTAAAACTTTATAAATACTACCATACACATTTTAAAAATAAAGAGATTAAATAAAAATGACAAATGCATACAACAAAATTTCAAAACTTAACATTTAAATGAAAAACGAAAAAATAAAGCTAAAAACAAAAATATTAAAGAATAAAAGGTATAAGAGTATAATAATGATTCTAACATAACACTAAGCCAAACACCAAAAAAAAAAAAAACGACATATATGTGTATGTACAATCACACACACATACATATATATATATAAACTAAAAGCTAAAACTTTATAAATACTACCATACACATTTTAAAAATAAAGAGATTAAATAAAAATGACAAATGCATACAACAAAATTTCAAAACTTAACATTTAAATGAAAAACGAAAAAATAAAGCTAAAAACAAAAATATTAAAGAATAAAAGGTATAAGAGTATAATAATGATTCTAACATAACACTAAGCCAAACACCAAAAAAAAAAAAAACGACATATATGTGTATGTACAATCACACACACATACATATATATATATATAAATATATACATACGTACACATTTATAAATTCAATATATATATTATTTCATTTCCATTTATTTTGTGGAAGTATTAAAATAACTCAAATTAAATAAAACTAATTTAATAAAAGACCTATACAGACATAATAAATTCAGACATAATTGAACTAAAATTAAAATAAATAACAAATACAAATAATACAAATCAAGCGACAGTAGTTTATAAAAAAAACTATTTTATTTATAAAAACTGAAACAGAAGAGAAACAAGTAGTAGGAAAGAGGAGAAATAAAAAGTGATACTTTTATTATACTTAATTCAGATATGACATATTATAACCATACAGTAACCCACATGAAAAAATACTATAGTAATTTACAGTAAATAGTACTATAGTGTTTTTGAACCATACTATAGCAAAGTACTTGAATTAATTTGTTGTGGTAATATAACAACTATAGTACTATAAACAAATTATTTTACCCAATACTGTACTAAGTTTTCTACAACTATAGGGTATATTTTACTACAATACACTACAGTAGTAAAAACTAAAGCATTTATTACAGTACTATAGTTAATACTACAGTATGCCATAGCATTCATTAACAAAGTGTTGTAAATAGTAGCCTATAATATATACAGTATAATATGCTTTACTACTGCATGGTTCAAAAACACCATAGCATTTAGCCTACTATAAATTATTATAGTATTTTATTTTCACGTGGGTTGAAATAATTTCCCAAAATCATTAACGTTATCCTCAGTTATCAGAGCAGAGATATTCAATACAAAACAACTGTGCGAAACAAAACAAAACATCAGAGTAACTGTTCACTGAATAACGATGATGATTTATTGTGTAAAACTCTTTAACATGGTAATAATATAATAGCTAACGCAGATTACTGCAGGACGTTGTTTACGTCTTTCAGTGTTTCAGGATGTTAAATAATGATAAAAAGACGTTACTTACAATTATTATATAGTCTACACACTTATAACCTTTCTCAATGTCACTGTTAGGCTTATGTGAGCCTAATACAAGTAGGCCTACAGGTGCATCTCAATAAATTAGAATTTTGTGGAAAAGTTCATTTATTTCAGTAATTCAACTCAAATTGTGAAACTCGTGTATTAAATAAATTCAATGCACACAGACTGAAGTAGTTTAAGTCTTTGGTTCTTTTAATTTTGGCTCACATTTAACAAAAACCCACCAATTCACTATCTCAACAAATTAGAATATGGTGACATGCCAATCAGCTAATCAACTCAAAACACCTGCAAAGCTTTCCTGAGCCTTCAAAATGGTCTCTCAGTTTGGTTCACTAGGCTACACAATCATGAGGAAGACTGCTGATCTGACAGTTGTCCAGAAGACAATCATTGACACCTTTCACAAGGAGGGTAAGCCACAAACATTCATTGCCAAAGAAGCTGGCTGTTCACAGAGTGCTGTATCCAAGCATGTTAACAGAAAGTTGAGTGGAGGAAAAAAGTGTGGAAGCAAAAGATGCACAACCAACCGAGAGAAACGCAGCCTTATGAGGATTGTCAAGCAAAATCGATTCAAGAATTTGAGTGAACTTCACAAGGAATGGACTGAGGCTGGGGTCAAGGCATCAAGAGCCACCACACACAGACATGTCAAGGAATTTGGCTACAGTTGTCGTATTCCTCTTCCATACCACCTCAGCAGTGC